CTTCCAGTTAATATAGAGGAGACCCTACAGGCTCACTGAACTCTTCTATCATTCATAAAGAGTAGTAGAGCGTGTCCAAATTCTGATTCAGACCAAGTAAAACCCTCTACTACGTGTTGTTATAAGCAGCAGCATCTTTAGACACAGATAATGGCTGCAGAAACATGACTTATGCAATTACAGTTACACCAACAAGCTAGAATATTAAGAAAGTAGGCCATCGAGTTCTAGCCTTATTTTTACTTTCTCCCCAATAAAGTCAACTCCATAAACTGTCCTCGCAAAAACCTCATAAAACTCTGTGGTGGTGAGATGACATCTGTACAAGTATTATAGAAAGAAAGGTGACAAAGAGCCAGCAAAAAAGGACTGGATCCTGCGAGCTAGATCCTACATATAGAGATATAAGATAACGTAGGCCTCTTTAGCAATATGGTAGAGCACTACATGTATAGCATGAAAGAATGAACACCCTTCCCATTGAGCCTCCTCCTTCTTTCCAAGAACCTCCTTGCCTGCCTAAAGAATTTGGCCACTGGGATGCCTAGATGGCTCAATAGGTTAAGTGGCTGCCTGCGGCTCAGGTCATGAACCAAGTCCCACGTCGGGCTCCTTGCTCTACAGGGAGCGTACACTCTCTCCCTCTGCCTGCCATTCTGCCTGCTTGTGCTGTCTCTATCAAATAAATAAATAAAATCTTTAAAAAAAAAAAATTGGCCACTTGCTTATGAATGGGCTTGTCGATGAAAACAGCATCTTTACTCTCTCCTACCAGGTAAAATTAAGTTTGCCCTTGTTAACACACACACCCACACGGAATCAGCCACCTGCTCTCCTGAACTTACATCTATTTTATGTCAAATGCTTAATTTCCCAAATTTAAGAGAGATGTGGAAACACCTAGCCTTCCTCTGGAGTTCAGGGGGTGTCCGTGAAATCTACAGCCAGCCCCAAACTTTACAGTACTTGATCTTCTTCCTCCAGGATTCACAGTTGAGCCATGAGCCTTTGCCAGAATGATTGATGCTGACTACAATTTAAGTTTGTACAATTCCTTCAGTCTTGGACATTTTTAGGTACACCCCTGTACAAAAACCACCAAATGATCCTTCTATTCTTAACTCATTATACTTGCCAACAAAAACAAGAATTTGCATGTGGGCCAGTCAAAATGTGAGTCACAGCAAGTTCTGGGGAGACACAAAACCCAAGTCCAGTCACAAACTGTGACACCACACCCACCAGGACCACACTCAGGGTCCAAAGCCACATTTCAGAAATACAAACTCTTCAATGGATATAGACCGGTACGCATTTCACTCAGAACCCCCTCTCCCAACAAAGGTGCCTACCAAGTGTGCAAACTTCAAATTCCTGGGGGAGCCCATTTTTTAATCTAAAATCCAGTTGTTTGGCATTTTAGATCCTTCAAAATGGAAAAAAATATTAAAGCAAAAGTAATCCTCACCACTTGGCCTTTTGAAACATTGTCATCCACTTACACCAAACTGGCATCAATAATGACAAGATTTAAAATAAACAGCGTAAAAGAAATAGAAGAGTCTTTGTATTTTTTGTAGGGTGGGTTGGTTCAGTTTGTTTTTTTTTTAAGCCATCACCTCCAATGAATAAAGCATCAGTCTCTGTGGTTGTAACATATGTGACAAAAGCTCTCAGCTTTTTTGACTAGGAAAAAGGTTCTGACATGCATGGTGAAGAGTTTGAGGAGAAAAAATGGCAATAATAAACTAGAGCTGAATCAACTGCACAAGCCCAGAGCAGTTTTAGGACAGTGTCCATTTTTGGATGGTTTGATGACTGATTTAACTGTGAAATTATCAACCTTTAGTTGAAGGGAACTGGTGGCCAGAAGACACTTTGTTCCATTTATCCCCAAACAACACCCAGTGTCACTAATCTCGACAGCTTTGCATCTCATATTTACACCCATCTGTTCAACCACAGCTAAAACAAATAATAATAATAATCCCAGCTCACTGAAATATTTCACGATTGGCTGCTCAATTGTGACTTTTTTTACTTAACTTCAGAACTAATATGGCTTTCTAGGGAAATCTCTGGGAATAAATAGGCCATCATTACACAATATCTCTTGCCTATCTTTCCACTCTGAAGCAGTATTTCTTTAATAAAGAATCAAGACACACACCCAGTATAAATGAATAGTCATTCTTTCACTCCTTGTTTTGAAAAGGTAATTCAGATCAGGTCAGAAATGTAATAATATCTTTGAAAAGACAGAATCAGATGAATGAGGTCTTCTTTCAGTTAACAGTTTGAACAATGTGCTATTCGGAATTTGACAATCTTTTTTGAAGAGCGAGTGAGCATGGGTCAGAGGGGAGAGGGAGAGAGAGAATCCCAACGAGACTCCCCACCAAGGGGGGAGCCCAGTGTGGGGCTCAATCCCAGGATCCCGAGATCATGATGTGAATCGAAATCAACTGAGCCACCCAGGCACCCTGGAAACCTTTTTAAATGGAAGATGAAAAACTCAACAGGCTAATTTTAATATAACAAACTACCAAGATAATCTAAACTAACTATAAAAATACAAATATTTCCTGAATATGAAAGGCATGTTTTTAACAAGGAGTCAGCTAGTTGGTAAGAGGGGAAAAGTGACCTTGTTCTCATTTATCTCATGCTGGTACAGTGAGTAACAAAAAGACTACATAAGCAGTTAAGCTCTCTCACTGAACTTGTTTCCAAAAAATGTCTATGATGCCCTTGAAATTAGGCTCTATTGATCTGGAACTACATTGTGCCCTTCATTTCAAGTCAACATCTACCTGCCCACAAAGGCCAGATTATCCTATTTTTTTAAAGTAGCTATTGGAAGTATGATAGTTGCTGGCTAAAGAGAATTTAACCAAAACCTGATCTTACCCTTCTCAATGACTCAATTTATCTTTCAAATTCTGTCCTTTAGGAGTACTTTGTTTTACTATACCATATCTGCCTTATAAACGCAGAGAAAGGGAAATAAATATTGTTAAAATTAAGTACATAAAGTAAGTGTTATTACTCAAACCGCGAATGAAATTTAAAGCATTAGCATATTCAAGTCTCTAAGCCAGGACTAGTTTCCCCGAAAGCGTAAACTAGAATTTGGCACATCAACCTAACACCGTAAAGACGCTCTTTACTTGACTGGTGATTACAAACTGCACTTTGAACACTCTATCAACCAAGGCTCCAGTGAGCTCACATTAACCCCCAGGAATTCTACATTACATCCTCTTTCCCACTGAAAAAGTACACTGGAAAATACAGTGTGTTTTATGTACTTCCCATGGAACAAACAGAAGAGACCCATTTCACAGCCATTAAGCAATTGCTATTTCTTAGCCCAAAAACACAAACCAAAATTAAAATGGCCTTAACTTTTCCAGGAAAACACACCTTCCCTTTGTAAAAAGAATGCTCCTTATCCACCCCGTACTAATTTTTTTCAAGAACCAAGAATAATACAGACCCAGGTGTTTTATAAACAACTGCAAAACAAAACACTTCTTTCTAGCTCTGAAATCTGTCATCAGCTAGAAAGATGGAGAACCTGGTCTATGAAGTCCTGTGTTCCCTATTTCTCCCCATGGGTTGATAAGACTTAATGTGCCTTTTCTTTCTTTCCTCACCTCCTGGAAATTCTCTTTCATTCAAGGCACCTGGGATGCAGCTTTTGCATCACTATAAAGTTCACACCAGACCAGGCAACAGAAGGATCCTCACTGCTGAGGAACAGTGATGAATGAAAAGGGAAACTTGACTCCCAAGTCTCAGCCCATACGAGGTGTTTGTTTTGTTTTGTTTTTCTTCTTCTCCAAAAGAAAGAGCCTCAAGCACTGATAAGTGAGGGTTCTGAATCAGTTTATGGAGTTAATTCTGTTCCCCAGAAAGTCAATCACAACGGATTAGCAACCTGGGGACACAAGATCTCCCAACAGGAAAAAGGTTTCAAACAGGAAATAAACAAAAATCAGAATTCTATACTTCCACTTCTCAAAATATCTTTTCCTCCCAACAGCCAAGTGCTTTTCCTAACTTCCAAACCTGGACACTAAATCAAGTTCTTCTTCTATTGCTCTCTGCACTTCTTATTGAAAGGAAGGATTTGTTTTGGGTCCCACATGTTGAAAAAGCCATGCTCCTGTAATTAAGAGTTTGTATGCCCCGCCTTTCACCCCATTTCCCTGTGAAAACTCGATTTTCCAAAAATGATCCTTGAAAACGTAACTACAAGCCCTCATCCTTTTCTCAGGCAGCCACAGGGAGCAGATCTGAAGATTCTCAGCAGCTTTCCTAACCCCTCCAGATCACAGTTGACCATGAAAGAAATTCTGTTAAAATGTCAGAGTGAAAAGGAGTTGGGAGTTTTAGAAGTGTGCCCCCAAGAGACGAGTTTTCCCACAGCTCATAATTAAAACACCCCAAGTGAATTTCTCACAACCTGACTAGACCATATAAGACACTTTTACATTGATATATAAGAATATTAAGAATAACAATGATATTCTTTCATTTAAATCACCGTGTAACAGGCCACAGGGAAACTAAAAAAATACAAACCTTTCGTTCTCTCTCAAGGGGCATAATTTTTGAGCCGAAATTTTATAAACTTGTGACATCTTTAAATACCGCTCCCCAACAGACACACACACACACACACACACACACACACACACACACGTTCTCTAATCGGGGTTCTCAAGTATTACTGGGATACCACGGTGTGGGGGTCTAAGGAAACAGACAATACCTTACACGTCCACCGTGGAGGTACTTTTCACATATGTGCTAGCTGGGAGCCCTAGGAGTTAAGCCCTTTCCCCCCAAAAGTTCCCGTTCCCCCGGGGAAACAGGAGTGAGTTGGAAAGGAAATCGAGCCGGGGAAGAGGAGGAGCAGCTGCAACACCCAGCTGCAACCACACAACGGTACCCCTTCCCTCCGGTCTCTGAGACGAGCCAAACGCCCTTACCTGGGGGGTGGAGAGCCGCCGGCACTACTTCCAAAAGTTCTGGTTCACCTTCCGTCCGAGTTCAAAGCCCCGGCGCGGCGACCCCGCCGCAGGCTCTCAGCCCGAACCCTTTCCTGTCCCGCTCCCGCCTTCCCCACCCCGCCGGCCCTACACCATGTCAGGAATCCGGGCAGGCACCGAGCTGGGAGCTGACATCACTCCCAGTTCCAGGTACCTCCCCTCCCCCCTCCCACTCGCCTTCTCTCCTCCCTCCCCGCGGGAATTAACCAAAGAGCGTTCGCAAGGGGGTGGGGCCGGCCGCGCCCGGGCGCCCGCCGATTGGGCCGGGGGGCCGTCAGTCAGAGGAGGCAACTAATTTTATACATTCCTCTCCGAGCGAGACTGGGGCTGGGAGGGGGTGGTGGTTGAGGGTGTAGATGTTGCCTTTCCTGCTATCTTTAAGAAAAGGAGGTGATGGTATGGGGAAGAGCCTTGCGGGTCGTGTTTTGAACTAATCTCGGCGCATTTACTACCACCCAGAGCGGAAACGAAACTAGCCCACCCCAGCCCCCTTTCTAAGAAAGAACAATTGCTTCTGTGTCACGGGCAAGTACGAGTCCCGCGGCGCGTGGAGCAGAAAATGGCTAGCTTTAAGTCATGCAAATAAAGGAAGCCGCCAGCTCTCTCCTCTGCCCTTTTATCTTGGGGCTGCTGGGTGTTCCCTTAGATGGGGAATTGAGAACTTCAAAAGCTCGGGAAAGGTTTGGAAGAGAATCGTAGAAACCCCGACCCAGCTCTGAATTGTTAACTGGTGGCGTTATCAGCCATGTGCTGCTTTTGCTTTTAGTGGTGAGAATCACACCACCCGAGCTTTCGGGCAAATAAAATTGAATCTCCGAAGTAAGAAAAATAACTGTTTACCTTTTTAAGTACCTTAAGGCTTTTGCTTTCGTACACTTCTGAAGGTGCCGGGGGGGGGGGGGGGGGGGGGGGGTCTCACAATTGACTTGAACAAGCCACATGAGAATAATTACTGTTGAATGGAGCCAGTTGCAGTGGCTGAGCTATCAATTAAGAATTAACTAACATTTGCTCTTGACGGATATCATGCTGTATAATCCCCTTGGCTAACAGAACAGAATGATTCTCAGGAGACAGTTCTTTCAATTTGCCTGATATCTGATCCGAGGCAGAACTGAATGGTGAACCGTGGTTCTATTTATATTAGATAACATATTATCCATTACCTTCTGGAAATGTAGTGAATTAAGTATTGGCTTTCTGTTGGTTTGTATTGTTTTTTTCATTGATGACAACATCCCCCACATTTCACCAGTCTGCCAGAAACTGTAGACAGATGCACAGAGTCAAACATTGATCAAACTTGATCCTCACAACCATCCTGTAAAATGTTATTAGCCCCACTTTAACATAAAGAATCAAAGGTTCAGCCAGATAATGTAAGTAAGTTACTCCAGAACCTCCAGAACTGGGGCTGAAACCAAAATCCATTGACACCCCTCACCAACCATTTTTTTCTCTTCACAGTGGCAATTGCTCACAGTGGACACTCGTTCAAACACCATAATGCTGAAAAGCATCCACAAGCCCAGGCCTCTGTCCTCTCGAATCTACATTCTATTACCACCACTATGCTGTTTGTCAGACCTATGCTATTCCAACCTCCTAACATATTTCCGATTCCATTTTCCCCCTACTTCTAGGTCTTTCTATGCATCACCACCAAATGAGTTTTCTAAAACACTTCGGTTTTGCCATCAACATCTTCCCCTCTAAATCAGGCTTCCTTTCCCTGCAGTTCTTAGCTAGCCATTTAAAACTCTCCCTAGCAAGGGGTACCTGGGTGGCTCAGTGGGTTAAAACTCTCCCTAGCATCCTTTGTATTTATCTTTACCACCTCATCTCCTACTTCACTCCAGCGAAACCCAAACTGGTCTATCACAGATCCCTTGATTCTCACCTTCTGGCCTACCTGGAATCCCTGCTCTTCTGTGTGTGAAGTCTTGCCCTTCTCTCAAAGCCTAACTCAGTCCTAGTCCTCTGTGTGTGCTATAGTGGACAGTAAAAGAGCTTGGGGTCCATTGCCCAGTTCTGGCACTTACTTGGTGCCTAACTGGGTGAGTCACTAAAATTTTGCATTAGAAACCTTGATCACCTCCTTTATAAAATGAGGCTGATAATACATCGGAAATAATTGTAAGGGTTATTGAGATTGTCCAAAGGTAAAACATGGTTTAATATGTCCAGTTTTATATATCTCCTTATCTTCCCACAGGATTAAGCAAGCTCCATGCTTAATCCTCTTTGTATTATTTACACCCAATACAAAGAAAAGACTCACTAAAAATACAGGACTACGGAAAAATGGATCATCATATCACTCTGACCCCCCTCCATTCCTTAATGGACCCAGAACCCAAATAATCTCACAGCCAGAAACTATAACTCTCTCTCATATATTCACCAGAATCCTTCCCTTTTCCTCCTCTCCCATCATTCATGCAACAACCCTTAACTTATTTTCTGCACAACCCACTTAACCTGCCTCTTAGCCACTCATCCTTCCCTTCCCTCAGTCAGAGACACACTTATCAGTAGTGCCTGTTGCCTGCTCTGCCCACCAGATGCCTTCGAACAGTGGCCTGGTGACTACCAGTCTTCTTCCAGACCCAGTCACAAGAAGGCTGCATCTAGGCTCACATTCTACAACTGACAGCAAGTGGGGGAGGGAATGTCTCACCCCCACAGGGATGGCAGGATAAAATAACAGGAAGTTGCCTCCCATCCCCTCTGCAGCTGGAGTGATAACAGCTGCCATCAGAGTCCAGAAAGCAAAAGAGTCAAGAGGAAAGCTGAAAACAGGCAGGGGCTGAAACAGTAATGTTCATACCAGGGGTTTCAGAGTGGGTGAGAAGGAACCAGTGGGTAAGATTTCAGCCTCCTCCCTGCACTCTTCTGCTCCCCCTTAGCAAGAGTTAGAGCTTCTCTTTTCTACATTTAGGCTTCAGCATAATGGTTTATTTAAAAAAAAAAAAAAGTCTGCATATGTATACTGACCTCTGGGTATCTTGGAGAAGCCCCCAAAGGATTAGAACAATGCAACAGAAGTGAAATAGGATGCCTGACTAGCGGATACCTGGAATTTCCCCACTATCTTGGATTCTAGCTGGCTTAATGGAAAAGTCCATTTATAACTCCTGTGATTTCAACACTGATTAGTTCTGTAGGTCTAGATATCTATTGTCCACCTAGTTCTTCCTATGGTTAGCCTTACCTTTAGTACCTATGAGTTGTGCCAGATACTAACACTATGGGGTATGGGTGGGGAGAGGAACATTTTGAAAGCAGGAGACACCCTACAGAGAGTAACAAAAATAGAACTTGAAATAGACCCCATAGGTCATCTGATGCAACCCCCATTGGATGCCCTTCTATAGCATTCCTGACAAATAGCCTCCTTGTACGCCCTGCTTGGATTCACCTGGTAACAAGGAGCATACGAACTCAGAGAGCAGCCCACCACTCAAAATCTTTCTCCTAGCAAGCAGTTCCTGCTTTTCTGACTTTGTCTTCCAAAGACTCGGTCTTGTGTCTTATTTAATCCTCATAACCATTCATTAAGCTGTGTTATTATCCCCCCTTTTAAAGTAAGGAATCAAAGGCTCAGCAAGGTTATATAAGTAAATTGCTCCAGAATACCTAGAACTGGGATTGAAACCAAAGTCTCTGACTACAAGCCTTTTTCTCTTTATACACCTGAAGCCTTGCCTGTCCACAGTCTACCCTTTTTCAGTTCTGTCCTCCCGAGTAACAGGGAGCAGGCTAACTCTTCATTCCTCATCCCCAAGCCAGTGCAGGCACATGCCCCACTTAGTTTATTTAGATGCAGATACCAAGAGAGGTTCACCTGACTCATCAAGGTCACATCACATGCCTGTCTGGCCTTCACAGGCTTCCAGCAGCCGCTCTCGAGAACACTGTCCTGATCATTCTTGACTTTCCTTTCAAAACACTTGAATGTGTCCCTTTACTAGGGAACAAAGCCCAAACTCTCTTTGGGTATCCAAAGGCCCTTACATCCCTTACATCCTGGTCTCCAACTTACCTTTCTACACTTAGTGATCCACTCTTCTTCATACTCCCGTGTTGTGCAAAGTTGGCACCCATATTCCCTAGTAAATTTTTTCCTTAATCTGATTTTTGCCCATTTCTAGTAACATCTACCTCACGGGATTTTGTGAGGATTTGAGGAGACATCATGGGCAAGGTGATAGAGCACATTGCCTGACACATAAGACATCAGTAAAGATAGTTTCCTTTTTTTTATGCCACAAAACAAAACAGTTTTCTTACGCCACAAAACAGTAGTATTATTTTTAGAGAGGGCTTATATCCCTCACTAAGTTCCTGAGGACAGGATGCCAATTTGTGTTATCTTTAAGTTCTTTAGGAAATCCAAAGCCCTGCTTCACCCTATAGACATTCAATAGAAATTCACTGGTACTGACTGACTGAATGAATGAATGAATGCTGTCTTTTGCTTAAAACTTTTCACCTGCCAGGAGCTACCTCTTTAGAAACTGGTAGCTCTGGAGAGCTACCAGAGAGCTCTAGATCTCTAGAGAGCTCTAGCTCTCTCAGGAAGAACTGGACCAAAGTTGTTTTAAAGGATGTGGGTGCCTCAGATTCTTCTTACCCTAGTCACACTGCTAAACACAGAGTGAGTTGGACACATGGTATAAATCATGAACCCAAATTCAAATGAAACAAGCCTAGCTTTAGAATTCTTTCTAAAGGAAATTGCGGCTTATTCCGTCTGATTCTAAGCAGGGCATTGGTGATAACCCAGACACCATTTTAATATCCTTTAGCTGGATACTAGGCCACTGATATCATCTATGAAACCAACGTTCCTCCCTATTCCCTTCCTGCCCATGGAGACAGGTTAGAAAGAAGACTGGTATCTCCCTTCAAGTAGGGTCTTATTTCAACAACTCTTCCCTTCCAACCCGGATTGTCCTCATTATTCTCTGGTTACCTGCCAGACAAATCC